CAAAATCAACATGGAAATCATAAATAGGAATTAGAAAAATATGGAAACAGTCTAATATTTCGAGAAATCCACTGCAAAATAAAAAACCAAAACACACGTTTTTAATATTTTTAAATAATATTTTGAATGACACCAAATATGACCCTCGCCTCTCCCCATGGGGTAGGACAGAGAGCAACTTTGAAATAGAAAGTCCCATTTTTTATTGGAGATTCGGATTCTATGTAAAAAACTGCATTCATTATCATAAAATGTGGTTCGTACCTACCATTTAAAATATTTGAAAACTTTTACAGACTATAGAAATTAAGGCGAGAATAGAACGAGCTAGAGCAGCATTTAGCAATATGAAAAAGCTCCTCATAAGCAAGGATTTATCTCTTCCCCTAAAACTACGTATAGTTATCTGCTACATTTTTCCGATCTTGCTGTATGGCGTGGAGGCCTGGACGCTGACGGAGACCCTAACGAGAAAACTGGAAGCATTCGAAATGTGGGTGTACTAGGGTGTACTAGGGCGTGGGATTGGGGATCGTGTTTGCCATTCCATAGATTTTTAAAAATAACAAATACTAGGTTTTTGGTTTTTCATTTAGAACTGTTTTTCTCGAGATAATAGACCGATTCCATAATTTTCCTAGGGTATCAGGATAAAATTGTTTTTTTCTGGTTACAGCGCCGTCTAAAAACTATTCTAAAAAATGCCCTGAATAAACGTTACCTATTTTTTTTATGAGTAATCCAAATTTGCAATAAAAAAATGAGGGTGCTCATTTATATTTCAAATTCGCTTCATCCCCCCCTTCTCCGGCCCTGCTAGATGAGGTGCTAGGAGGTGTTGTTTAGTGTTATTCGATAGATTTTTCAAAAATATTAAACGCGTTTTTTCAATTTTTTAATCTCAATCTCAATAAATGGCTCAAAAATAAACAATCTACACGTTGTAAACTACATAGCTCTTCTTATAAATAACCAAGAGGACCTGATTGATCTTATACGACTGATTAAAAATAAGACCAAAATAATAATAGTGGATAGGCAACACGTAAATCATCTAGACATATCCAATATTGATCGGTTGGAAGTTATAAACTCATACTTTCATTTGGATCATTGATTTCAAATACAGGGATACTGGTGAAGAATCTTAGTTCAAAAATTGTCCACTTGGAATCAACACCGTACCTGAATGGACAAAAATGTCAGCTGAAAAAATTGGAATAGACATAACTACTACTACTAAGGATTTCCACAGTTTTCACTGTCTTCCTTCACTCAACCGTTTTCTCTCCAATTTTCCCTGTCATTCCAGTCTCCATCTCGCAGGGTTCTTTTCTCCATAGCCTCGTCGATTTCGTCTCTGAATGACCTTCGGGTCTTCCTCTCTTTCTTCTTCGATCGGGCACCATTCTGTGATTTTGTTTATCCAGCGTCCTCTGTCCGCTCTTCTGACGTGGCCGTACCAGGATAGTCTCTTCTCCTCTATATAGTCGATTATGTCTGATTGCCCTCCCATTCTCCGCTTAATCTCTGCGTTTTCAATTCTGTCTCTTTTTGTAAGTCTACAGCTTCTCCTCAGGAACTCCATTTCTACTGCTCTTATTCTATCTCTATTTCTCTTGTTTATTGTCCAGTTTTTCGGACCCATATGTCAGGATACTTCTTGTCAGGGTATTATATATTTTCTTTTTTGTCTTTATCGTAATGTTCTTATCCCACAGCACTGAATTTAGTTGTCTTATACAGTTTCTTGTTTGTCTTAGTCTGTTGTTTATATCTTCTTCTGTTGTTCCCTGGTTCGATATTATGGTTCCTAAATACTTGAATTTATCTGTTCCATTTACTTGTCTTCCCTCGTCTATCTCTAGGTTTCTCATATCCTTGTTTTCTGTTGTTAGGTATTCGATTTTCTCTAAGTTTATTTCCATTCCGTTGTTTTTATATTCTACTTCTAGTTTTCTGAGCATAAAGCTGAGATCTTCATCATCTTGTGCGATGACTACTTGATCGTCGGCAAAACTTAAGGTGTATAGGTATTCGTCTCTTACTGGTATGCCCATTCCTTCGCACTTTCTCCTCCATGGTTTGAGTGTCTTTTCCAAGAATATTTTAAACAGAGTAGGGGACGTAGCACAGCCTTGTAGAAGTCTTTTGTCGTCTTAAATGGATTGTAGGTTTTATTTTCACATTTAATAGCTACTTTGTTTTCTTTGTACAGTGCTTTAACTGTTTTTATTAGTGTTTGTCGGATTCCGAGTTCATTCATTGCTTCCCATAATTTGACTCTAGGTATTGAGTCGTATGCTTTCTTTAGATCAACAAACGCCAGGTAGACCGGTCTACCTTTTGCCATTTTCTTCTCTATCAGTTGTTTTAATGTGTACGTATGATCTAGGCATGATTTTCCTACTGTGAACCCTGCTTGGTCTTCTCCAATTTTTCCTATTATTTCAGTTTCTAGATTTTTCCTTGACAATTTTCCCGTAAAGTGTACCTACCGACGATATTATACTAATTCCTCTGTAGTTTTCACATTTTTTCCTGTTTCCTTTCTTTTGTATGGATGTGATGTATGCTTGTGTCCATTCCGCAGGACTAGAGGACATTCCGAGGACTAAATGGAACGGAAATACCTGCGGAATGGGATAGACATAAAAAAACATAAAATAACAAATCATTTTCATCGATATTTAGCTGTGTCAGCCTTGTTCAATCAAGGTGTTTCTAAATAGGAGTTAATTAAATTAACGGGTCACTCAAATGCAAGCTCTCTAAAACCATATCTGCACCTGGATTCTAGTCACCACCAGAAGTTGACTAAAAATCTCAGAACAACAAATGAAGCTGGACCTTCGAGTTTCGAAATGCTACAGGTCAATTATGTACACAATCATGCTGTGGTAGAAAAGAGTGGGCAAACTACTATAGCTTATAATAATTGTAAATTTAATATTACTAACGAATAAAGATTATATTTCGGTGATATGTTGCATTAATTAATTGTCTCATGAAATAGTCTTGTGGAATATCATTCGAGAGAAAATTAATTACCGAGAAAATTTTCTTCTGGTTTTATTCAAGTTTGTTGCCTCTTGGCAATTTTCGCTTATGAAATTTTGACAAAATCACTCGACTGACGTCTCATGATTTAACTGTCAAACTTTAATTCGCTAACTTTCAAACTAGTCGAAAATATTACTAGCAAAATTTTCTCTCTTATCATATTATACAAATAGACTAGGCGGGATCTGTAGAAATTTAGACCATAATGGACATTTTCCATAGAAAGCTATTTTTTTACTGAAATCCCTTCAAGATGTGCCCAATATCGATAATCACGATATGAGCCATGTCGCAAACCCTGTGCTAAATTTTTTATTTAACAAACTCTGCAAACAATTGAAAGTTTCTCATTTTTTTGCTAATATTTTCGTTTACAATTCGAAAAATATTGATCATAGAGAAAAAATTATAAAAAGTTAAATTTTCGATATTCAATTTTACACAATATTTTGTTAGCTAGAAATTGAAAATTTATTGTTTACTGTTGAAAAAATAGCAATAATTGGAAACAAAAGTATAAAAAATGTAGTTAATCCTTTAAATGTTTTCGACTTTCTAAACTTGACTTACAAGCTCCATATTCCGCCTAGAAAAACTTTTTAATATGTTTAAAACGTGTGCTACATTTTGCTAAGATCGGTCGCATAGGTTTTGCATAAAAATTTTGCAATCCAGCCTACTAAAAAAAATCGCAAATTTTCAAATTCATAGTAGGCCCTAAATAAGGCCTGCAGATAGTTGCAAATTTTTTTACATATAAAGGAAGACTTAAACTTTTAAACACTTTTTTGTAAAATGCAAATCGGTTCACTAGGAGAGCCTAGAAGTTTTTAACATTTTTTAGGCTTATAAACAAATTGAATAACTTTACGAGCTTTAAACATATTAATTTCAAAATTTATACACTTAAGAACAATAAAAGACGCTTCTTAACAAAAAAGATACATTCGGCTTACTGGATGCTGAGATATTGAAGGTCAAAGTTGGCATACATTTGCCGTGTAACCATAAGTGATAGAGGGCTCGTATCAAATACCCTCGTCTTGTCATATACTTTTTTATATGAAAAGTTTTACGTAATGCGCTTCATGGTAACATCCATAAAAAATAAAAATAGAAATAAAAAACCGTTTTGAAAGTTTAAGCCTACCTTTATATGTAAAAAAATTTGCAACTATCTGAGGGCCTTATTTAGGGCCTACTGTAAATTTGAAAATTTGCGATTTTTTTCCAGTAGGCTGGATTGCAAAATTATTATGCAAAACCTATCCGAACGATCTTAACAAAATTTAGCACTCGTTTTAAACATATTAAAAAGCTTTTCTATGTGAAATATCGAGCTTGTAAATCAAGTTTAGAAAGTCGAAAACATTTAAAGGATTAATTTCATTTTTTTGTATTTTTTTTCCAATTATTGCTATTTTTTCAACAATAAATATTAAATTTTCAATTTCTAGCTAACGAAATATTGTGTAAAATTGAATAACGAAACTTTTAACTTCTTTTTACTTCTTTTCTCTAGGATGAATATTTTCCGAATTATAAAAGTCTAGATCCCGCCTAGACTAAAATAAATATGGCATTTATGACAAGAGAATTTTTAAATATTTTTTTATATTTTCAATGTTTAGTTTCATTTATTTAGCTGTCAACTTTGGTAAAAAATTATTTTTTTATTTAGTTGCTAACAATATTTCCAATTTCATTAATTTTAAAACTCTTTCGTTATGTGGATTTTCCTTAAAAATATTGTTAAAATGGTCAACTTGGATAAAAAATGATTTTTTATTTATTTTCTAAAATTATTTCCAATTATTTATTCCAAAAAGTGATCAGTTCATGCTCTCATAATTTTTATCTTTATTTTTTACATGCATGTTTTACAAATTGTTGCACAATTTGTTATATAAATTTGTAACCTGAACTCTTATTTTTAGGGAATCTGTTTACGACAACCAAACAAATCCTGCATGTGGGCTAGGACGAGAGCTCTAACAACGTGTTCAAGAGAGTGGCGTCGTAACGTAACGATGAGTTCTTCTTATCATCAGTACAACAACTTTGCTTTCCACCATTAGATGATAGGAGTTTTGTGTGCATACTAAAAGAAAACCTATAAACTTTATCCTGAGAGGTTGGGAGTGAGAGATAGGGTAACAGTTTTTATACGATTTCGTCTAGTCGATGGGTGGTGCTACAAGATCTTTGTATAGAGTAGGAAATCAAATAAATGGTTTAAAAATTCTACAATGTTGAATTTTAGGTAGTTATTCCAAACTCGATAAAACTTGACACATCTTATACGTTAATGTATTGTATTTTCTAAATATAAATGTACGTGAAAGACTTTTTCTAATCTGTATTTTTCATTCTGTAAATTCTAAAGCATACTGAACATTCATATCGACTGCTAGACACATCCGTTTCCCATCACATTTCTGCTCTGGTCGTGACATCAATTTCTGAAATGTATCACGTTGATGCTTATACTGCAGTTTTATGGGGTGCAAAATCGAACTTAATGTTCAATAGAATGTCTGACGCCGACTCTAATATAAAATATTGCCATCGATTTGTAAACAATAAAAAAAGCTAAAATTGTATTAGTGTACATAGGGTTTACAAATGGTTTCTTTTTTCTAATGAATGACATGAATTCGGATCAATACTGCTGTTGTGTAATACTTATTAAGAACTAACTCAAAAGACTCGCAGATTTTTTTACGATGTAGAAAAGCTTTACTAGCTTCAAGCTTTATTTTATTTATTTAGAACTTTGTATACCTACGACAAATAATTTTTTAGCTTAAAAAAGCAGGATGATATAAGAAAAAAGTAAATTACAAATATATGACTTACCATTTCACGATGATCTGGATAAAATGTTTGTTCAATGAGTGGAAAACATTCTTTCCCCAATCTTCTTTGAAGTTGAACCAAATGTCCGAATACCCAAGGTTTATCCTGGAAGAGAAGTATTGTTTGAAAGCATTAGGTGATTTTAGACAAATATACACTTGAGTTCAAAACAATCGACTCAAAAGCGATATTTAAAATTACACCTTCTGTTTTAATGTAAGAAGTATGAAAATAAGAGGTAATGTGCAAACAGTAACTTCATTATTGAACTTACAAAAACTGCTATTTCATTATTTGGAAGACGCATTATAAAAACAATATGCAATACGAACAGAGTTTCTCAAATATTCATCATTGGAACTATCCCAAGAAAGACGTAATGAACGGAGAAATCATCAATTACAAAATAAATTTATTTTGTTTTTCAGTATCTGATATTACCACCCCTATTCCTAATTACACTTTCCAATCGATTTTGCATGGATCGGATAACTTTTCTAATAAATTCTTGAGGCATTGCTTCCCATTCATCATTAACCGCAGCTTTCAATTCCATTATTCTCCTTGGTGCATGACTTTTGCTCCGGACCCTTCGTTTAAGCTCATCCCAAACATGCCCTATTGGATTTATGTCCGGGCTCAACGCACGCCAATTTATTGTAGGTATAACGATCTCAGTCAGATAGGTGAATAAAGGCATTACCAATAAATCCCGTGTATGGAACCACATGTTTCTCCAAAATATCTCTGATGTAACGATCCGCCGTTAAACCTCCTCCACGTCCCCCACCAGGCACAAAAACCAGTTCGGTTTTTCAATCCATGGAAATGCCTGTCTAAAACATACAAGAACCGCCTCCATATAACACAATTTCTCGTATACAACATTGAGCAAATCGTCCCTGGCCTTCTATAGACTCGACGCCTCTTGTCGTTGCCATTTAGGCAGATCCTACTTTCGTCGGAGAATAATACCTGACTCCATTCATAGACGTCCCAATCCAGATGTTCGCGAGCAAATTCTAGTCGTCTTTGTTTCTGGGCTGCAATTAGCTTGGGACCGGTAGCTGCCCTTTTTGGTGTCAGGTTAGCTGCTTTCAGTCTCCTTCTGACTGTCCAAACGCTGGTAACCACACCTTGGACCTTTCTAAGCTCTGCTTTGAGATTAGCACCAGTCAAATGTCGATTTCTCAGAGATTTAGATACAAGAAATAGATCATCTCTCTCTGCTGTTATTCGTTTACGACCTCCTCCTTGTCGGCGGACGTAATCACCAGTATCTTGGTACCGACGATACACTCGGGACACAGCAGATTGGCTTAAATTTAGTCGATTTGCCACGGCTCTCTGGCTCAGGTCTTCTCTCAATAATGCTACTGCTTGAGCTGCTTTGACGATTATGGTATCCATTTGTTATGAAGTTGAGAACTTAATTGACTGATGTATTAGTGGGTTGCTATGGAAATTGATGCTTACGATGTTAACCAAATGTGTTAGTGTTGATGTGATGAAGTGGGTGCGTGTCGATTTCAATGGGTCAAATTATGACCCCCTCTCTACGTGTTGCATTATTTATTTGTAATAAGTCACCCGATTTACCAAAAATTAAAACTTTTTTAAACTCAATAATGAGATTAATAATTGCACTCTAAATATTTTTAAATTTACACCTTTTTGATTGAAACAGGAGACGTACTTTCGCAAAATAATTTTGAGTCCATTTTTTTGCACTCAAGTGTATATAACGTTAAGTTAATTACTGTTAAACTGAGAATAAGCCACAATTAAAGATAAAAATACGTTTATTGACGTTTCAATTTCCACTTCATATAACTTTCATAGCTTCAGAACAATATAACGTTAAGTGTTTTAAAATTGCATTTACAATAGTACTTATTAAAAATGAGTACATTGAACAAGAGAAACAGTCGCAGAATAATTTTATAACATGAGGCCATTATTTTCAAAACTTGTTCTTTGCTCGAAAGTCATTTTTTGGGAAATCGAAAAAAACGATTACCGGCCAGGTAGTGTGTAGCTTACAATGTAAAGAATATAATTAATGTAACTTTAAGATGTTTAGTTATATAAAGAAAATGTTTAAATGAAAAAAAATCAAAAGCAGTCTCAATTAGTCGTGCTCAAACGAAAAAACTGTCATTGTAGCATTTTGGCAATTTTTTCAAACCATCCACGGTTTCTTCTGGTGAGGTAGAATCTCTTTTTAAGTGTTCCTTTGTAAAAATTTAGTTCAGGAAGGCTACTTCAATTTTCTTCATAGTATTTGCAAGGAAACAATTAACAGTCCCTTTATTCCCCTTTAATTTTTCTCCCAGTGGCAATTTCTTAGGAGCTATTGAAAAAGGAAAATTTTTCTTACAAACGCTTTTAGCTTTTCTAACGTCATTTCGGTAATTGGGTTTACCTTTGACTAGCGCATTGTTGTCTTTTTTTGTAAAAAATAAACCGCTTTGCCTTATCAAATTCAACGTGCCATAAACTGGGTAGCTTAATAACTCATTTTTTTATATCATCCAATCAAACACATCTCAATCCATACCGATTTTCCGTACATTAGCGTGAGTTTGTGTACCTCCAAATATAAAATATGGCAGGACACTGGTCTTTCTGGCCTTTCGGCATACGACCGTAAGCGACTCCACTGCCCCTACGAGTCCGACACCAACTAACGTGGCACGATGCCGAAACACATCGTGTCGCTCCACCTTACCCGTAGTACCTGTGTTGCGGTTGCGAGTACGTCACCCGTCCGGAGATCCCTCCCTCCTTCCCGGGGGAGAAAGATGACGCAGGCGGATGAATTACACCTCGCACGTAGACAGGTCGGCGCCGAGGATCACTCTTCTACCACCCTTAAATCATTCCAGATAGGCACGTGCCGGGACACCGACACGACTTTCGGTGATATAAGGCCGTGAGAGGTATTTACAGGCCCAACTCATTCAACCTCACCTGACTCTTGTGGAAAGTGAGTAGAGTAGTCCCACGAGATGCTCGTCTCGTATACTAGGAGTGTAGACCGGTGACCAAGATGACTATGCATCTCGAGTGCGTTTCTACAAGCCCTACACCTCGAACGACGGCTCTCTACCTCTCATTTTCTTTCCATTGGTCGCCTGTTACGACAGGCAGGGTCTTCTGGCCTCGGCCGTATTCTTAATTCCGCGAGCCGAACGAAGCGATTTTCCGTACAGTGAAATTCCTTGATTAAATCGTCGTAGCCACTAATCTCCACGATAACGGGCATTTTTTATTGTCTTTCTATAAGGCCGAAAATACGATCAGGTGGAATAAAGGAATGACCAACCATTCAAAAAATAATTCACTTTGTTTAACATGATTCGGCGATTATTTTAGAAGCCAATAAGCCAATATTACCATAATATTCAATTTTTTGTTTTGTCCACCACAACCATCAGCAACAAACTCAAAATTCTTCAGAGCTTGCTGCAAAGCTGACGCTATTGTATTAGAATCTTTTCGAGAGTCAGTTTCTGATTACACATAAGAAAACACATTTTTTGGTCTTAGTTTATCGGTAGTAGTTCTAGCAACAACTTCAAAATTATTATTGTTTATTTGTTGCCTGAAATATGCTGCTTGATCAGGCAATCTAGAGAGTGCTTAGTTTTTTTGGCAGTTGAACGAAAAGTTAGTTGTGTTGGGTCTTGGATTTTTGAGGAGTTTAAAAAAGTCTTTGCTTTTATAATATAAACACGATGCTCAGTGGCTTACTTTTGCCGAACAACTAAAAAAGTTGCTACTTTTAACTGCTCCTTTGATTTCAAGCAAGTAGAGCAACAGTCACTCAGCGGAGTTCCAAAAAAGATGTTGTAGTTAAAATTTATATACTTTTTGAAATAACTAAACTTCACATGCATAGGCTGAGGCACTCTTTGAAGATAATGGTCCAAAAGTTTCTTAAAATTCAAGTCACATCAAGTAGACCCTCGCGCTTGTCGTCCTTTTACAGTAATGAGACTCTGTAAATGTTATGGAGTCTATAAAGTTATTATTTCTGATACTTATTGAAAGAACAATTCTATTATAATCTGCTGAGTTGTGAAGCGTGTGTCCATGTTTAATCCTATTTGTATAATCATTAGGAAATCGGATGCAAGAACGAAATAGTAATTATATAAAATGTCTGTTATAAATAAAAAAAAGTATGAAAATGTTAAACTGTTTTCCCTTATCA